GGGGGTTCGGGGGGAGGGTAAATGTGTTTGCAGGGGGGCTTGCAGGGGGCAGGGTGGAGATGGGCCCGGGAGGGACTGTGGCTCGACACGAGGGAGGGGGCTGGAAAAAATGCATTGAGAGGTCTGGGGAGCGGGCGGAAGGCGTGTGCAAACCGTGCGCGCTCCTGCGGTGGACGAGTGTTTTTTTTCGTATGACAAGTACACGCGCCCGTCAGCCAGGCATCACGACGTGGCAAGGACACTTACACGCGCGACAGGCGAGAACATGCGTTCGTGCGGCTTTCGTCTTCCGCATCCCCGAATACCGCTTCCACACGCACCCCAGCAGCTTGCATGCTTGCTTGTGCAACCACCTCATATCCGCCAACGCTCGTCGTCGCTGATCCGCGCAGTGCAAAGGGCCCCCGCTCCTGCCTTCCCCCCTCCTTGTCGTCGAAAGGGGGCGCGTGGCCGACCTTCCTCCCCGTATTCACGCTTTTGTCGTCACTATCATCAACAAGCTGTTTCTACGCACAAATCTGCTGGCATCCCGCCATCCCCATCCTTCGCGCAGGCAGCCAGGTTTAGACTTGCGGGGGAGTCTTTTCCGGAAACCCGTCCACGTCGTTCGGCTTCTGTACGCCGTGATACCATGCCATGCCTGTCGTCGTGCGGCATAGCGCCCCGCATCGTGAGGCTTCCCAGGGGCTGTGGTCTCAGGGGGTGCTGCGCCCCAGGGGGTGCTGCGTCCGCAGTAACTTTATATCGAAGCAAAGATCATGGCAATCCGCTCCTCCTCTCCTTGTCGTCGAATGGATGCAACCTACTTGCGCACTTGGCATCTGTTCCAATCTAAATTATTGTAGCATCGTATGCCTCCACGGTACCCCTTGTCAGGTGCACAATGGCCGTGTAACAACGCTGGCGACGCGCGGGACATGCTGACGCTCGTTTCCGTCCCGATCTGCGAAGGTCCGCCGCAGACGGCTATATCTCGCGATGCGTGCCTCCACCGAATCGGTGCAGTGCGACTAGATCTCATCGGCGAAGATATTGAGACGCAAGACGGCTGCCGCGGGCGTCTTTATTATAACTTAGAATACTGCAAGGTGCATGATGATACTGTGCTACACAACCACCCACCACCTTCCGCTCCACAACACTAATCTGTGAAATCTTACCACGGATTTCACATTCTTTTTCATACAGTCATGTACAGACGCCTGATTACACGCCAACCAACGGTGCCCCATCCAGACTGTCGTCTCGAATCGCGGAGTGAATGCCGACGACAATTGCTATGAACCACAGGACGGAAAATATTAGGGACAACCCATTCCCCACGAAAACAGCAAGCAAACCGCAAACAATCGCAATGATCCACTTCCCCTTCTCATCAATACTTACTTTTCCAATTTCTACCGTCTCAGGGTGCGCAACAAACATATAGTACACCACGGCCACCCAAGCTATCATGTAAAGTAAGCTCCCCAGATGTCCGAAAGCGAAAAACAGCACATGCAAACAAGTGAGCAAGAAATAATTGTAAAAATATGTTTCGACGTTGTTTCCCATGCGCGTTCTGACCTCCTCCAGCGGGGGAAGGTTCATGGCTCTGAGGTTGAAGAACTCGCCCCACGAATGAGAGCTTTGCCACACAAGGGACGCCCGGTCCCCGAACGACAGTTCGGAAGCAGGATCCAGCGGTTGAAGGTAGAGATGGCTCACATCTGGCATCGCGTCCTTGGCCTTGTCCACCGCATTCGATATGATGCTTCTTGTCTCTACTGCCACTGCGCTAGAAGTGGAGGCAGACCCTTGCACGGGCGTGTAGTCGTTTTGCGCGCTCATGTCGTCTTGCAAGTAGGTGTATGCGTCTGTTCTGCGGCTTGGAGAGGGTGCCGTACGGGTGAGAGGCGCGCTTAGAATGCGGGTAGTCGCGGGTGATGAAGAGAAGCGGATGTCAGGAGCAAGGTTTTTGCGGATATGAGCCCTCCTTGCCTTGCACTTACGATAGATTGTGGTGCCAGGCACTGGCTTTACGTGGAGGCCGAACGAACAGAGAGCAGCTTTGTCTCAAGGATTCACTTGGTAGGGCTTTGGTGTACCGTAAGGGGGCGCGTGATGAGAGTTTGGGGGGTGGGGAATAGGGGCACTGAGGACGGAGACGAAGACTGGGCCGATAATGACCCTGGAAGCGAAGGATATCTTATGAATTCGTTTGATAGGATAACAGCGAGTTATCCTATGCGATAGTACATACAGTACAGGGGTCCCTATCTATTAGTGCCGCCCCATACGGAAACCAAGAAACCAGCACTATTCCGAAACAGCATTAGTCTGTAGCATCGCTACACTACAGTACATGGATCTCTGTACCTATTCGGAAATTACCATTGGCTTGCTCTGCTTTGATTCTATGTCTTCGTATTTTGCAGTTAGAAACGCCTGCTTCAGAACCTTCAGGGACGATAACGGGTCAAACACTTGACATTCCGCCGCCAAAATTTCCAGATCTCCAAACAATTCCGTGATCTCAACGACACTCGGTTCGCCTGTAGATCGGTGATTTCGGGCCTCTGTGCTATGGTCAGGCGCCTACGCGTCGTTCTGTCTTCTCTGGGAGCGGAACCATTGCATTTATTGACCCTGAACGGTGTTCGGTTCTGAAAGTAGCTTTGAATTTTTTGGCCAGTTCGAAGCGAGAGGGACGGGGCCGGTAACTAGTGTCTAGCCGACAATTTTCCTCATTTGAGATTGAGGTTCAACTTATTTTATTATTTTTATGAGGTCAAATGGCCTCATTTGAGGTCACTTGTCGGCTAGACACTAGAGGGTGACGGTTGTTACTGTAGTATTTTTATCAAGAAAATTTATGTTACAACTCGTTACATGTGGCGTTTGTTGTGTTTCGGATTACTAATCCGAAGGTTGCACTAACAAAAGCGGCACTAATGGGCGTCCCCTCTAGTATTAGGTACCTGTCAGCATGCCGGGTTTCAGGGAGACAGGTGTACTGTAGCACTGTACAGTACATTGCACATTGTGTAACATTACCCTTGGGTACCGCACCTGGAACATGATGACAAATCATACATGTCAACCAACATGTCCTGAATTATTCTGTACACGTGTCAGTGTGTGGACTTGTTAACTACTCGTGCTCATTTGTAGTTACATGGGTAGCTGCCGGGGTGGCGTGCTCTTTCTGTAAAGCTCTGTGATGTAAGCCGTAGGATCTACAGACCCTAAATTGCCGCCCCGCCGGCGCCCACCGCCCGACAGATCCACAGTGTAGCTCTTCAGAGCATCATCGCCTCCTCACTGCCAGCTCGGACACACGCCTGTGTTATTGCAATCGACTAACTTCGCAATGGCTCGCGTCAAGTTTGCAAAGAACAAGGCCTATAGCAAGCGCTACCAGACTAAGTGGCGCCGTCGCCGCGAGGGAAAGACAGATTACCAAGCCCGTCGTCGCCTGGTAACTCAGGATAAGCGGAAGTACAACTCCCCGCGCTACCGACTCGTTGTTCGTTTCACCAACAAGTACGTTTTCCGATGCGCTTCTTATGCCAATGCAGATCATCGGCCTTGGGTGTCTTGCCTCTTTGCGTTACTCTGATGCGTTGCCATTCGATGTGGATCGTCTCGATCTGCCGTCGTCTTCCGTATAGCTTCAGTGCCAATCGAGCACAGTCCTGTAGCGCCGATCTGGGAACCAAATTGGAAGCGGTTATTTCTCGCTCCCGCGAGGGCAGTAACTGCGCGAATATGCTGTTGTACATGAGGCGAAACTGATGGCATTGCCACGGACCTTCGTCGTACGAAGTAGCATCTGTGTTCCTAACGTGTTTGAATCGTACTCTCCTTCATTTCTTTTAATCACTCAGGGACATCATCTGCCAGGTTGTTGCCGCTCGTATCCAGGGTGACGAGATTCTCACCTCCGCCTATGCCCACGAGCTTCCTCGCTATGGTATCAAGCACGGCCTCACCAACTTCGCCGCGGCTTACTGCGTGGGTCTTCTCTGCGCTCGTCGTCATCTCTCTAAGCTCGGTCTCGATGAGCTCTACAAGGGTGTCGAAGAGGTAAGCGGTGAGATGTACGAGATTGAGGAGGACGATGAGAAGCGCCCGTTTACTGCCCTTTTGGATATCGGCCTTACTCGCACTACCACTGGTAAGAAGGTGTTCGCCACGATGAAAGGCGCCGTGGACGGTGGTATGAACATTCCTCACAACGAGAAGCGGTTCCCGGCCTACACGAAGGAGGAAGGCTTTGACCCTGAAGAGTTGAAGAGTCGCATTCTCGGTGTTCACGTGTCTGAGTACATGAACTACCTTCTCGAAGAAGATGAGGATGCCTACAAGAGGCAGTTTGCCAAGTACATTGCGGACGGGATTCAACCCGATGATATTGAGGACTTGTACGTCGAGGCTCACCAAAAAATTCGCGCTGACCCTTCTTTCAAGAAGAAGGAGAAGTCTGATGGCCCGCACAATGATAAGTGGCGCATGGTGAAATTGACCTATGATCAGCGCAAGCAGGCTGTGAAGGATAAGCTCGCTGCCCATCTCACTGCTCAAATGGCAGCTGCCGCCGAATAAACATCGTCTGTTGGACGTCATTTCGCAATGGGTTTCGGTTTTTGTCATTTCTGAGCCTTTGTCCTGTACTCGCCAGTACAACTCTGTACGAACCATACAGGCAGCTTCATCATGGCGATGCTCTCTGTAGGCCAGATTCATAGTTGAGGCAATTGACGGACAGGCGCGTGGGGTCTGATGACACGAAACGGGTGTGAGAATATCATAGGGTTCTTTCTTCCGAACCAGAGGTCGTTTAAGGCAAAGAGGACATCTCAGACAAAAATGTCAATACGACTAAACTTTACAATGTGTATTTCACGCCCGTTTCAGTCACGCCATACTCTCTTGGCGCATTGCCTTATCTGTTCTCTTCTCCTTCGCCACCTGATCGGCATCGGAGAGGCTCTGTCCTGTAGCCGCGAGGTAAACGTCATCAAGAGTTGGCTTCGACTGTGAAAAGCTGAAGAGCTTTTCGAATCCAATCTCTCCGAGCGCACCGACAATTTCGCCTCCTACACGGGCGTTCGATGAGCTTACGACAAGCTCAAGAGTATTGTTCCTGACTCGATTAATGATGGCTTCTTGCGCTAACCCACGTTTTCGAAGTGTAGCGCATGCGAGTTCGGCTTCTTCCATTTCTGTAAATTCCTGCAGGCGAATGGAGATGCGATCGCCGCCGAGACTGTTTTTCAGCTCTGTCGGAGTCCCTTCAGCAATAACGACGCCTTTGTCCATGATGACTACTTTGTCAGACAGCACATCAACCTCCTCTAAGTAGTGTGAAGTCAAAATAATTGTACCGCCTTGCGAGCGATGGTGTCTCAAAACATTCCAGATTACCATTCGAGACTCGACATCTAACCCAACAGTAGGTTCATCAAGAATCAAGATTGGGGGTTGATGGAGAAGAGCAATGGCCATGTCGAGTCTTCGAATAACTCCCCCCGAATACACACCAGCCTGACGGTCAATAAAGTCTTTCAAGCCCAAAACTTCTATGTATGCTTCAATGTTCCTTCGTTTAGTCGCGCGATCGAGATGTGCGAGGTCTGCAAAGAGTTCGAGATGCTCCCGACCAGTAAGCACCTTGTCGAGCCCCGCGCTCTGCGCGACAAACCCGAGCATCTCTCTGGCAAGGTACGGATCCTTGTGCACGTCAATTCCGAACATTTGGGCGGTCCCGGAATCCGGATCAGACATGGTGGAGATGCATCGCAACGTGGTCGTCTTTCCGCTGGAGTTGGGCCCCAGAAGGCCAAGGACCTGCCCACGGTTTGCGCTGAAGGACACGCCGTCGAGGGCTGTGATAATCTTGTTTTCTTTTTTATCGCTTCCTTTGCCTTTTACGCGCTTTTTGAAGGTCTTGCGGAGATCCGTAACGAGGACGGCCGGGTGTTTTTCAGCTAGTTTGTCTAGGTCGATGTCTTCCGCGCGGTTGTAGAAGAAATTAAACAACATTGTGGGGGCCTTGTGTCTGTGAGCTTGTCTTGCCGGGGGATTTTGGCGGTGACTTGATGAAGGAAGGAATAAAGAGAATCGGAGGCAGCCAGCCTGCTGACATGCCGTCGTTCCTGTGGGTGATCGTGCACCGGGTCGGATTGATACAGGCGCCACAAAACAGGGTGTCATGATGAAGGGTTTAGATCTGTCGCGGGAATCAAGCGTGGCTCGGGAAGGGATGTCGTCAGAGGACGCTAATTGAAGCTGAAGTTGTTCCCGGTTCTCTGCGCTCTGAAAAATGCAAAGGAGGAAAGGCGTGGCATGCAGCTCGTAGTTGATCCGGCAAATAGTCGGCGACTACCGAAAGCGCATAGCGTATACTCGAAGCGCAAGAAGGGGAGAATAGGAGCGGGTCGATTCACAGGAGTGCACTGATTCGAGAGTGTTATCGACGTTGCAGCTCGTCGCGACGCGGTCGTTGCACGATGAGGTGGACATAAAAGTCGGGCCTCGTGTTGTTGGTGAACATATGAGCCCTTTCGCTCTATTATCCTTGCTGGACAAGTCATGCCCTATCGGTGTTCGTATCCAATTCGGAATCATTCTGATTCTCTGTTTTTCTCTGTTTTTTTGTTTAAAAAAAAATTGTAGACACGTGTCCTCAATAGTGAAGCTTGAAGCAGTAGACTGCTTCTCACTGTTGGGTGTCGTCTACGCTGATCGGTAACTTACAGTGGAGTATACTGCACGGCTACTGCCCACACAGTGCAGTTCAGTTTGAAAGCACTGCATGCGATATCTTACAATTACAGCAAACGAAGAAGAAAGACGGCAGGCAGTGTGCACACAGTGCCGTAGTAGCCGTCCTGGGCCTTAGCTACAGTGCGTTACAAAAATATAGCCGTTTCGGAAAAAATGTCGTACTGTAGTCAGAAAAGCGTTCTACAGAAAACGACTAGCACATGTTACTCCAAAACAAAGCTGAAACATTGTGGAGACGTTAAAACTAAAACGGCAGCATCTAGCTTGAGCAGACAAGCAATTGTTCGTATCCGTTAGTAACATAATTATAGCCTTTATACACTCCGTGCAAAATAAAAAGATACTTAAATGCGATAAAGACCTCAACATAGTTTAACATTGATCCTCACCACTCCCACAGCAAGGCCCTACCTCACACCACCGATTCACACAACCCAGCATGCCGAGAGGAACCAAATTAACGCTCGTTGAGCAAGGAAAAACCCTCGCGTTTAAGGAGGAAGGATTCATACCTACTGAAATAGCACGGCGTCTGGGGCGATCCGGGAAGGTCGTCGCTAACTTTTAAGAGATCCCGAATCGCATGGGACTAAGAAGAGTCCCGGAAGACCGTCAAAGTTATCACCGAGGGAAAAAAGGTGGATAAAAATCGAGATTTCTAAAGAACCACAGAGCTGCGCCTCTGTTAAAATAAATCTCGATTTACAAGTATCACGCCAAACAATATGGCGTGAGGTTAGGAAACAGGGGACACACAAGTATCAGAAACGAAATCCTGTCCCACTATTGACTGAGGCTCATAAAACTGCCCGTGTAAACTGGGCTGCCAATCATGCTCATTGGTCCCAGGAATGGAACGATGTGATATTTTTGATGAGAAAAAGTTCAATCTAGATAGGCCTGACGGGTTCCAGTACTATTGGAGAGATTTGAGGAAAGAAAAGCAGCAATTTTTCTCACGACAGGGACGGCAGCGCCAAACTTTCGTCCTTTAATTGCATGAACGGATACAGCCCCAACACGGCATTGCAAACAACCCATGTTCACTCACAGCATTCTACTGCTTCGCTTTTGATGCCACAGCCTATCTACTTGGTCGCGAATGTTTAACGGCAGTTACAAGCCTACAAAAGACAAGAGCATCAAAGAAACGATCTCTGAATCATTTTACATGCCTCCTCCTTTCCTTTTCCTTCCTGGCTGATGGATATGAGGGAATATCCGCTAGGTCAAGTCACTCCAACAATCTGATCAAGGACAAAACCTCATGGTTTTTATTTGCTTGCATTTTATTGGGTATCGTAAGTTGAAAATTTAGAACGCAACAGTAGTTTTCACTACGTATACATAGTTGAAGTCGGGAGAAAAAATGCGAGTGCGAAGACGGGAGCAACTGTCTACAATCGAAACTGAGTGTGTCCATTACAAGCCTGACTGCACAGAACTGCATCTGCCTGACTATTTCAGCTCTAACGCCCTTTGTCTGCCTCAGCAAAGACTGAGCTGATACAAACGGAACCTGGAGGAGATTATTTGACAAAATTTGGAAAATTCACAAAAAAGAATTCGCGTTCTACATGACTTCGAAGTCAATAGACGCCATTCTCGAAACACACAACAATCCGCTTCAGCACTTGTGAACACTCTTACCTCCGGTGTGCATTGCTGCGGAACAATTGGTACACTCTACCGCTCAATTTTCGCCCGCCATAAAGAACTGCCTCCGTGTAGTCGGGCCGCAGCGCCCTCCGAAGAAACTGCTGCGTACCACTGGTGCATAGTGCGAGGCCATGCCCCGGGCAATATATTCGCCGGCTCCTCTGACACGTTGGTCACATGTCGCAGTAAAGTCCCTCAACGAGAGTATAGAGCCGTCAAAATCGTCGTATTTGGCGTGGTTCGAGGGGTTGGCTAAAGGATTCTAACTTGAACAAGAGTAGAGTGAGTCCTTTTGCAAGTGTGAAGCTACCACGAACGTGGACACGATTTTCGCTGGATACTTGAAATGGCAGATAGGGCAGGTCAGACGAGCAACATTACTGTACCAACTGTGGAAGAAATCAGCACAGGATTGGAAAAGCTGATAGAGAGATCTGAAGAGCAACACGCATTTATTGACGCCATGAAATATGTGCACAGTGAGGGATACACCTCATCATCCCCCGCTCGAGAATCTCTCGTTGAGTTATCCCACAAGAGACTTTGCTTCATCATTCTTGCTTGAAGTCACCATTGCTGTACATGAATTTACGCAGCCTTCTCAACCGCAACGGTATCAGAGTTGCACTATGCCAGGGACTAGCCGTCTACCAGGCAGTTTCCAGTGCCACTTACGAACATGATGAAACTTTGAGGACTACTGCGAACCAGATTATGTCCGAGTGGCGCCCTAGCCGCTCAGGAGCTGTCTCTACTGCCAATGCGACGCACGACGCCTCCCCCGGGGGCCGTTCAACAAATGATACTGAGTCTGCATGGCGGCGCGTTGACTCGTCTGAAAAAGGTTTTCTCGCGTCCTAAAAATACAGTGGCATATTAGGGGAATCACCAACAATGATGGAAGTCAGTCGCGCGTATCTCACTTATTGTGACCAAAAGGGGTTCCGCACGCAGACAAAGTGAAATTAGTATCGTGCATACTGAAAGGTGGTAGTATAGTGGCGGTCGCCAGCTATGAGCTAGCTCGAGGAAGAGGTAGCAACCAATACAGAGTGTCCCGCGGTAGATCGGGACGGTTGTAGAGCAAAGGTAAAGTACGTCGGCCGACTTTAAAGCACGACGTACTGGTTAATGTGCGGACCCGGAATAGACCAGCACTGAAAGTGGTTGTGTACGAACACACACAAAAAGGGGGACCCCGAGCCTTGAGACTAGTGTAGTATAACGACGGACGCGCGTGCCGGGAGATTATTAGCCGTGCCGCCGTGCACGGTGGACACGTGGGCGGGTGTGCCCACGTGTAGGGAGCGCGCGCGTGTACCCACCGGTCGTGGCGTGACGCACGTGTACAGTAGCACACGTGTCGTCCGTGCGGTAGTCTACGCGTGTTACGCGTGGGCGTTAGCACAGGTGTCGTTCGCGCGGTAGTCTGTAAGCAACACGCGTGTACAGTAGTGCACACGTGTAGTAGCAGCGTCCGTGCAGTAGTAGTAATTATGACGCTAGTTCTTTAGTTGTGTACAGTACCGGGCACGCACTAGGCGGCAGGTATTGTACAACTGTACTGGAACAGGTGTCCGAGGCGTCCCTCGGAGGGGTTAAGACCTGGCACCCGTCCCCACCAGTAAACTGGGGTAAGCTCGCCCCCGTCCCTTTCGCGCCTACGTACGTCCGTTTCGGTTCTCTACCGCGCGCGCTGGCTTCCAACCCGTTACTGGTCGCTCCCGTTCATGCACCATGGGGCGACTGCGCGTAACTGGCCAGTGAGCCACTCCCTTTTCGCGAGCGCGTCCGATCGGTTCAATTAGCACGTCGCGTCCGCGCCGCGTGTTCCCTCGCTAAAGCCTCCGCCTCTCACCCAACCCAGGGCGGAGAGTAGTTATCCAACAACTAGTGTCGAATACGGGTGGAGCCCCGAGTAGCAGGAACTCCTAGAGTGAACGAGCGGGACAGATGTCAGTAGTGCCGCTAAGGCTAGAGGCTCGTCGTAGCCCGCGGCCAGACAATCGTCACAATGTACGGAGAGAGAAATGGGTCGTGCGACAGTAATACGCCCAGGCTAGAGGCTAGTCTTAGCCCGCGTAGTCGCAACGACAGATGGAAATTGTAGCATAAACACCCCCGCGGAGAGGGGTGTATGCGTACAGTCCTATAGACCTCGGATCGCCGAGAACGGGATGAAGCACCACTCACACACCGGACCGGACGCGGGCCCTGGTAGCAGTGTGGTAGAGCGCGGTGGGGTCGGACGCGCGCACGCGCGAGCGGATCTACGACTCGACGCCCCGGTGCGGTACTGGTAGACGATCCAGTACCGACGGGCGGAGGCGGATCCGGGCTCGCTCGCGTGCTGGAGCGTCCTTGCCCGCGCGGTCCCTTGCCTAGAACGGACTAGAGTAGGCCGGTCGTTCTAGTAGAGTAAGCGGCAGAGCTGACCTAGACGGATAGTCGTGGACAAGCTCGTGCTTGTCCTTTTCCTCCGTCGTCGGTCGCTCGCGTATTTAATGTACAAAGTATTCTATCATAACACTACAGTACCGATGTACTGTAGTGTGCTACTGTAGTGCGGGTCAGCCTGCACTGTAGCGCTGTCAGGCATCGGGCTGACAGTACACGTGCGTGTCGTGCACACGTGCACGTCCATACTGTAGAGCTCGGGCTCTACAGTGCGGGATCCAATCTAGATCTAAATGTAGTTTGCCGTTATACCACAGAAATGTTTAATAGGGAAAACAGTAGAAACGTCGAGCGACAGAGGAACGCCTAGG